ACGCGCACAATCATGCAATTATAATAAGGGAAGATTTTAAATCGAATTTGACTAAATTCAAATTAAATTAATTATAAAATGAAATAAAAAAAATAAATTTATTTAGGGTTTCTAAGAAAGTTGATATATTTAGAGCATTTTATAAATGGTAGGATATAAATATATTAATAAAATAATTAAATATATTTAATTACCTCTAATTTTGGAAAATGATGACATGTTTTTTGATGATTTATTTCCACCAATTAATTCGCCACTTGGGATGAAATTGATTACATGTCATCAATTGTAATTGCCAAATGTCAATCAATTAGCTATGCAATTCAACTTTTATATATTATATAGATGTGTTTAACATGCATGAATGGGATTTATTACGTTATTTAACCCAAATAAAATGTTCCTTAATCCGCTAATTAAAGAAAACCTTATTCACTTTGGATGATTATATTCGTATCGCTTTCTCCTATCCCTATCTTTAATTTTGGCTTTTGCTTCTTACACTTAACTCTCTTTTTTTATTCCACGAACCTCGATTTTTTGTCTTCTTTTATATATATATATTTATATATAAAAAAAAAATAGTGGACTATTAGATTAAACAGCTAAACAAAGGCGGCTTTTGAAGAAGCCTCCTATAGCATATACTATTGCACATTTCTAACATTATATATATACATATATATTACTACGTTACCATTATCCTGAAATTAAATTGCAATAATTGGGTACGTATAGTATAGTGAAACCGAAAAAATGGGTCGGGTTAATTTTCTGACGAGTCTAATATTATCAATTTCCGTGGGTGTTATTCTGTTCTCCGGCCGCCCGGCATCGGCTCAGCTCCGGCAGAACTTCTATTCGAACACCTGCCCCGACGTGGAAAGCATCGTAAGAAGAGCCGTCTCGGCAAAAGTCAGCCAAACGTTCGTTACTATTCCGGCCACCATTCGTCTCTTTTTCCACGATTGTTTTGTTTCGGTACGAGTAATTAATTAGTTACTACCATTAATAAATTAATTAATTACGATCATAATTGTTTCTTGTTGTACCTCGTGCTTTCTGATTTGTACATAAATTAAATTTGTTTTTTTTTTCTTGGTAGGGGTGTGACGCGTCGGTGATAGTAGCGTCGACGGGGGGAAACACGGCGGAGAAGGACCACCCGGACAATTTGTCGCTCGCCGGAGATGGGTTCGACACCGTGATCAAAGCCAAAGCCGCCGTTGATGCCGTCCCACGTTGTAAGAACAAGGTTTCTTGTGCCGATATTCTTGCATTGGCTACTCGTGACGTCATTGTCCTGGTTTGTACTTTCTCTCTCTACACTCTCTCTCTCTCTAGACTCTCTCTCTCTCTCTCTCTCTCTAAGTTCATGAATTAACAGGCTGGTGGGCCCACGTATCCGGTGGAATTGGGGCGATTGGATGGATTGAGCTCCACGTCAGCAAGTGTAAATGGGAATTTGCCCAAGGCAAATTTCAACTTGAATCAGCTTAATTCCATGTTTGCTTCTAGAGGTTTAACCCAGGCTGATATGATTGCTCTCTCAGGTAATTAATATACGCAATTACGAAAAAGCCCTTAACATTTGAGAAATTACAATCATACATTCATTTTTAAATTAGAATAATCCTACATTAAATGAGTCTACCTTGGTTAATTGCATACTAGTCTACTAGATCATCTACTAATTACAGTAATTACATCCAATTTGAATTTTCTTTTTACATAGTTCTTATTGCATATTTTATTTTATTTTAGGGTAAATTACAAACACCCCCCTAGGTATGGTCAAATTACAAAAAAAAACCCTCTTGTTTGGATAA